GGAAAAAAAAAACCCCCCAAAAAAATTTTTTCCCCCTTTTTAAAAGGGTTTCCTTTTTTAAAAACCCCCAAAAAAAAAATTTTTTTCTTTTTTTTCCCCCCCAAAAATTTTCCCCCAAAATTTTTTTAAAAAAAATTTTTTTCCCCCCAAAAAAAACCCCCCCTTTAAAAAATTTTGGTTTTTTTTTTTTTTTTTTTTTTTTGGGGTTTTCCCCCCGGAAATTTTTTTTTTTTGAAACCCGGGGGGGCCCCTTTTTTTTTAAAATTTTTAAAAATTTTCCAAATTTTTTTTTTTGGGGGGTTTTTTTTTTTCCCGGTTTTTTTTCCCCCAAAAAAAAAGGGGTTTTTCCCTTTTTTTGGGGTTAAAACCCCTTTTTGGGCCGGGGGGATTTTTAAAATGGAAAAAAGGGGGGTTTTGGAAAAAAAAAAATTTTTTTTTAAAAAAAAAAAAGGGGGTTTTTGGGGTTTTTTGGGGGCCCCCAAAAATTTCCAAAAAACCCCCAGGGAAAAAATTTTTAAAAAAATTTTTTTAAAAACCCCTTCCCCTTTTTTTTTAACGGGGCAATTCACACAACCATTTAATAACTACAAAACTCAAGATTTATAGCCACAGAAGACAACACTCAATACAGAAGAATCCTGGAATCATCGCTTATCTCATAACCAGAACAATGGCTTCTATAACATAGCTGAACACTCGCCAAGAAACTTCTTCATCGCTATCCCAAATAAGAACATAGAACACTGCAGAAGGTCTACAACTTGTCCAATACCCCTGCCAAGCTACCCAAGACTCTATAACCCCACCCGGTAGATCATCAGATGCAGCATTCTCCACCTGACCTCAACATTCTGAACATGACTATAAATACTCTCGTACCTTCCAACCCCAGGTAGATCCGTGTGTGACTTGAAAAAGCCCACTGTGTGGGTGAAACGTTGTCAGTAAAGGATCACATTATACTGCATTTGTGTTTATATTTCCATGGTGAGTTTAAATATGTGGCCTGTAGTTATAACTTTTCTCTTGACATATGCAAGACATCACCATCTCTGTAGAAGCAGTTATTAGATGTACTAGTCATTATATTTTGTTGTTGCAGAAGTACAGTTTTTCTCAAATTCAATTCAAATTCAAAGTTTATTCTCTATAAAGATTACAATGTTGAATTTACAGAATTTGGTTGTTGTGTGGTTTGCATGTAGTTAAATAATGATTACAGAGTGTACCACTAGAACGCCTAGCATGGCTAGGCATTTCGGGCAGACTTAGTTTAATTCTTTATTTTAAAATATTACAAATTATGAGGTAAGTTGGTATTATGGCTAAGTGACTAAATACTAGTTTGTGAGTTTAGCAATGTGAATGCTTTTGTTTTGGCACAGTACATAGTTTCAGTATTGGAGTATCATAGGATTCATTATTTTAAGATTGAGATTAATATTTCTGTTTATGGTCAAATGGGTGAGTGAGTGTAAGTGTGAACCACCAGGTGGTATTCGTGTAGTAGTTAGTTGATGGGGTTTATCAGGGAGATAAGATGTTTTCTAATGGTAGTTTTGAAGGTGATGAATGTGTCTGCAGTTCTAGAGTTCTCAGGTAGGGTGTTCCAGATTTTAGGGCCTTTGACATACATTGAATTTTTGTAAAGGTTTAGTCGGACACGGGGAATGTCATAGAGATGTTTGTGTCTGGTGTTATGCCTGTGGGTTCTGTCACAACTATCAAGAAAGCATTTTAGGTCAAGGTTGATATTGGAGTTTAAGGTCCTGTAGATGTAGATTGCACAGTAGTAAGTGTGGATGTACTGAACAGGGAGTAAATTTAGATCTATGAAGAGTGGGGGGGGTGTGTTGCCAGGGATGGGATTTAGTGATTATTCTTACTGCAGCTTTTTGTTGGGTTATTATTGGCTTTAGGTGTGTTGCTGCAGTTGATCCCCAAGCACAAATAGCATAGGTGAGGTATGGATAAATAAGTGAGTGGTATGGTGTGAGAAGGGCATTTTGCGGCACGTAGTATCGTATCTTGGAGAGGATCCCAACTGTTTTGGATACTTTTTGGTTATGTGTTGGATATGGGTGCGACCTAGGTGTCCCAAATTCCTACTTGTCTAACTGATAAATAATAATTATCTATGTTCATTTACTGTTATGTATATAATGATGCATCCAAGTAAATGCAATTTTCTACACTGACATTATTATTTAAACTTGTGAGAAATCCAAATTATGCTCCACACTGTCTTTGTTTAAGGCCAATTTAGCTCAGTCATCAACTTAACCATGCTCCCAGAGGCCTAGGTGATGAGATTTTTAACCCGGGGTAGGATTACTACCAGTGCGTCATCGAGGAATGTCTGTCTTATCTCCATTGGGGTCTTTCAATCTTAAAAACAAGACTTATGACAGGTCAGAAAGATGGAAGTTCAGTTATTAATTCTAATACAACTCTGATTTGTATTACCATCAGTCTAGTTAGGTTAGGTTAGGTAAGGTTCGTCAGGAAACAGGACACATGTTTCCTGACGTGGGTCTTAGTCAGATTATGACCCGCCTTAGGAGCTTTTGGTCATCTGACCTAGGCCTTCTGCTGGCTTACCGGTCCACCCCTTTAAATATTATGGTCATATAGAACCATTTTTGTTATCAGTCTAGTTTACAATAGTAGTACCTTCAGTCCTCCTACTCTCAGAGGGGAGCCACCAGCATAGACAGCCTGTGTGATATTGATTTTTCTTACAGGTCATGTATTTGTTCCTGAGTGCTGAGTTCAGAAAGCGGTCGAAATCAAGGATTGTGCATTATGAGTTTCTTAGGAGGATAAATGGACAAAGTGACAAAGGTTGACACAGGGTGTCCCGTCGCTGGTGGACTCAGCTCACACACGAATCCCTGGTATGACTGGATAACATTAGGACGTGTTTCTATAAGACACCTGCTGGCCATGTTCACCCATCAATGTAAAATGGGTACCTGGGTGTTAGTCGACTGGTGTGGGTCACATCCTGACCTAATTTACCCGAAATGCTCTGCATAGCAAGCAGCTTACTATATAACTTTATGCCACTGGTGTCAGCTAGACCTATTCCTTATACATGTACTTGTAGAAATAAATACATTATTAAAAGCTGTTATCTGCCAGGATGGTGGGAAATCTGTTGCTTCCTAGCATGATACAGGTGATGTAGTTTACCTGGAGTTTACCTGGAGAGAGTTCCGGGGGTCAACGCCCCCGCGGCCCGGTCTGTGACCAGGCCTCCTGGTGGATCAGAGCCTGATCAACCAGGCTGTTGCTGCTGGCTGCACGCAAACCAACATACGAGCCACAGCCCGGCTGGTCAGGAACCGACTTTAGGTGCTTGTCCAGTGCCAGCTTGAAGACTGCCAGGGGTCTGTTGGTAATCCCCCTTATGTATGCTGGGAGGCAGTTGAACAGTCTCGGGCCCCTGACACTTATTGTATGGTCTCTTAACGTGCTAGTGACACCCCTGCTTTTCATTGGGGGGATGGTGCATCGTCTGCCAAGTCTTTTGCTTTCGTAGTGAGTGATTTTCGTGTGCAAGTTCGGTACTAGTCCCTCTAGGATTTTCCAGGTGTATATAATCATGTATCTCTCCTGCCTGCATTCCAGGGAATACAGGTTTAGGAACCTCAAGCGCTCCCAGTAATTGAGGTGTTTTATCTCCGTTATGCGCGCCGTGAAGGTTCTCTGTACATTTTCTAGGTCAGCAATTTCACCTGCCTTGAAAGGTGCTGTTAGTGTGCAGCAATATTCCAGCCTAGATAGAACAAGTGACCTGAAGAGTGTCATCATGGGCTTGGCCTCCCTAGTTTTGAAGGTTCTCATTATCCATCCTGTCATTTTTCTAGCAGATGCGATTGATACAATGTTATGGTCCTTGAAGGTGAGATCCTCCGACATGATCACTCCCAGGTCTTTGACGTTGGTGTTTCGCTCTATTTTGTGGCCAGAATTTGTTTTGTACTCTGATGACGATTTAATTTCCTCGTGTTTACCATATCTGAGTAATTGAAATTTCTCATCGTTGAACTTCATATTGTTTTCTGCAGCCCACTGAAAGATTTGGTTGATGTCCGCCTGGAGCCTTGCAGTGTCTGCAATGGAAGACACTGTCATGCAGATTCGGGTGTCATCTGCAAAGGAAGACACGGTGCTGTGGCTGACATCCTTGTCTATGTCAGATATGAGGATGAGGAACAAGATGGGAGCGAGTACTGTGCCTTGTGGAACATTATTATTATTATAATCAAGGGGGAAGCGCTAAACCTGGAGGATTATACAGCGCCTGGGGGGGGGGATGTGGAAGGCATTCAGGCTTAATTCGGGGAACTGGAGCACAGATCCAATTCCCTAAATCAAGAGCCCCTCACCAACATCAAGGAACCTTCCTTGAGGGGCCTTTTGGAACAGAGCTTTTCACCGTAGCTGCCTCGGACTTTACTCTGTTGACGACTACTCTCTGTAGTCCCAACATTTATGTATGAAGCTGTTATTTAAATCCAACTTGATTCATCTGTCCCATGAATTATATATTCTAGTAATTATCTACACAATATTGTTTTGATCACCAGGCAGCAGCTTCAGTCATATCATGACTCTGATTTCATGTCTTCTATCAGCATCATTTTCCTCATATTAATTATTCTGGTGGTTATTGGACAGCCAAAATCATTCTTTAGGGTTTTATTTTGTTTTTAAAGGCTCTCAATGGATGTATTGTGATGAAGTACAAGTACTGGTAATCTACATATATGTATATGTAAATGTATGTAGGTGTACCTGAATAAACTTAAGCATTTGCGTTAATTTGCCCAAAATACATAGCATAGTTAGTGACTTTCTTTTGTGTCTACCATTATTTTATTGCATGTAAATTACATTATTTTGTGCCGCATAAAGGAATAAAAAAATGTTTTGTATTTCATTATATTATAAATTATCATTTTGGGTCAATATATTTTTCCTGGTGGTCCAGGGACACGGCTCAGTAAAACCTGGTCTTTGGTGACCCTTTATCAACCCTCAACAACAACAACAACACAGTAAGTGTACCAATAATTTTTTTTTAGATGTGGCTCTGATAAACCCAACAACAAAGTAATTTTTAGGCCTCATTCATAATTTCAAACTTTTAACAGCTGTTTCATGTAGTAATTTAACCCAGTATATCCCCAGAAATCAAAGAATATGATTTATTTTCAGTATAAACACTTTTATATCAGCGTGTTGTTTCTCAGTGTATTTCTGGTGAGAGTTGTATGTTAATCCCTTATTTTAGAAGTAATAATATTCGTGATAGTGTAGAGGTGAATTACTGATAAAATGATCTACCAGCAGTCAGCAGACCTTAATAATTTTGCTAGACTTATTATTTCCTCTTCAAAGTAGTTTCCTTGATGCTGGTATAAGGTTTTATTCGGATTTTTAACCCTGGAGGGTTAGCCACCCAGGATAACCCAAGAAAGGCAGTGCATCATTGAGGGACTGTCTGTCTTATTTCCATTGGGGTCCTTAGTCTTGTCCCCCAGGATGCAACCTGGGGTATACCTTGAGAGGGTTCCGGGGGTCAACGCCCCCGCGGCCCGGTCTGTGACCAGGCCTCATGGTGGATCAGTCAGCTAACATCCAGGTACCTACTTGCTTGCTAGGTGAACGGGATAACAGGTGTAGGGAAATGCCCAATGTTTCCACCCTTGCCGGGGATCAAACCAAGGACACTGTGTGTGAGGCGAGAGTGTTGCCTACTAGGCCATGGGACACCAGTATGTAAGTTTTATTAAGGTACGGGTACACATAAGTACAGTTACACACTTTTATATGACTACAATTATCATTCATAGTGCCTTGTGTGTAAATTATCTAGGATAACCCAGGAAAGTCAATCACTCTGACTTATTACCATTGGGGTCCTGGGTAGCCCAAAGAATTGGAGCTACCCCTTCCTTGGGTCAAACCTGATTACCTCCCATTCCCTAGGTGTTATATTCCTTAAAGATTTAATGTTTCTCCATAATTATTTCAGCCATCTGAGAAGGAAGGAACCAGCAACCTGCAGGAACAAGGAGGAAGATTATTGTTATTGTTACAGTCAGAAGTAAGCGCTAAGCCCACGAGGGTCATACGGTGCTATCACAAGGCGGAAAAAATTCTCCGAAGAGATATATTTACTTCAAGAAACCACCTTAACATCACCCCTGATAAAGCATGTTTAGGTTTCGCACGTGTTTCCTTTCAGTAGTAAAAACTTGTGTGCCCAAGACCACAAGACATTATCGTAAATTTGCAAGGCAGCCGGTGAGAGTACACCTCAGCACCGTGGACCAAGCTGAACAAACACTCAAGCAATATGAAAACATGGTTTCTAGAAGCAGGAGCAATACTTACACTAACACAAAACATAAGCTGAGGCAAGATGTTAATGCCACTAATGACTTGACTTCACAGCAAACTGTACAAAGTAAGTGACTACTTGTGTGGGGGTTTTATATTTAAGAATTCACTTATATACAAAATCTATAATATACAGCCTCTCCTGACTTAGCGACGTACTTGTTTACCAATGCCTCAAACGTACGATGAGCTCTCTGGCCAGTATTCATACCTAAATAATGTATATGAGAGCTGATTTCCTCTATTCTATTTATTTCAATGTACAGTACACTACTATATAAACATTTAAAAATACATCAGAAATGTTATAAATGGTGCAAAGGTGACATTAAAACAATATCAAAGATGGTTGACACAAATTCACTACCATTATAGTATGCTCCTCACTTAGCAATGAATTCATTTAACGACATCGTCTTAGGAACGGAACTCCATCATTAAGTGAGGAGGGGGTGTGTGGGTGTGTGGGTGTGTGGGTGTGTGGGTGTGTGGGTGTGTGGGTGTGTGGGTGTGTGGGTGTGGGTGTGTATATGTGTGTGTGTGTGTGTGTGTGTGTGTGTGTGTGTGTGTACTCACCTATTTGTACTCACCTATTTGTGGTTGCAGGGGTCGAGTCTTAGCTCCTGGCCCCACCTCTTCACCGGTTGCTACTGGGTCCTCTCTCTCCCCGCTCCATGAGCTTTATCAAACCTCGTCTTAAAACTATGTATGGTTCCTGCCTCCACTACATCACTTTCTAGGCTATTCCACTGCCTGACAACTCTATGACTGAAGAAATACTTCCTAATATCTCTCTGACTCATCTGTGTCTTCAACTTCCAATTGTGACCTCTTGTTTCTGTGTCCCCTCCCTGGAACATCCTGTCTTTGTCCACCTTGTCTATTCCGTGCAGTATTTTATATGTCGTTATCATGTCTCCCCTGACCCTCCTGTCCTCTAGTGTCGTCAAGCCGATTTACCTTAACCTTTCTTCATAAGACATTCCCCTTAGCTCTGGAACTAACCTTGTCGCAAACCTTTGCACTTTCTCTAGTTTCTTGACGTGCTTTATCAAGTGTGGGTTCCAAACAGGTGCTGCATACTCCAGTATGGGCCTGATGTACACGGTGTACAGTGTCTTAAACGATTCCTTATTAAGGTATCGGAACGCTGTTCTCAGGTTTGCCAGGCGCCCATATGCTGCAGTAGTGACCTGGTTGATGTGTGCTTCCGGAGACATGCTCGGTGTTATACTCACTCCAAGATCTTTCTCCTTGAGCGAGGTTTGCAGTCTTTGGCCACCTAGCCTATACTCTGTGGTCTTCTGTGCCCTTCCCCTATCTTCATGACTTTGCATTTGGCAGGATTAAATTCGAGAAGCCAGTTGCTGGACCAGGTGTCCAGTCTGTCCAGGTCTCTTTGAAGTCCTGCCCGGTCCTCATCTGATTTAATTCTCCTCATTAACTTCACATCGTCTGCGAACAGGGACACTTCTGAGTCTAACCCTTCCATCATGTCGTTCACATATACAGTAGAACCTCAAATTTCGAACTTAATCCGTTCCAGGAGCTAGTTCTAAATTTGAAAAGTCTGGAATTCGAAGCAATATTTCCCATAAGAAATAATGGAAATACAATTAATCCGTTCCAGGAACCCAAAGATATTCACAAAAAAAAAAATACATTTTATAGAGATTAATTACAGTTTTACATACACACAACAAATGCTATAGTCTTTAATTATGTATAGTAATATAAAATAACATTTTTACTTACCTTTATTGAAGATTGGCGATGGCATCTGGAAGATAGGGAGGAGGAGAGAGGGGAATTAGGGTTATTGTTTGGAAGGAGAATCCCCCTCCATGAGGACTTCCAGTATCAAAGCCCTCTCTGGGGTTGCTTCCCTTCTCTGTATTTTAATGCCACTAGGACCAGCTTGAGAGTCATTGGACCCCAGTCTCACAAAATAACTGTCCACAATCGTCTGTTTGTCTCACAAAATAACTCCACAGTTGTCTGTTTCTGTCACAAAATAACTCCACAGTCGTCTGTTTCTGTCTCAAAATAACTGTCCACAGTCGTCTGTTTCTGTCTCACAAAATAACTGTCCACAGTCCTCTGTACATCCTGGCAAGCTCAACAAGTCTCACTCCAATCTCATACTTGTGTATTATTTCCTTCTTCACATCTATGGTGTTTCTCACTTTCTTTACCACAGGGGGACCGCAAGCAAGTTTCTTTGGGCCCATGGCAGCTTATTTCGCAGCCCCACAAGCACTAAACACAATTAAATAATCGTAAAATGTGTGAATGAGATTGCAGGTTAGTGTTCACTCAAACATAAACAAAGCTAGACTGCTCACGGGTGCGTGGGGACATGGACAGAGCGGGCCAGCGGACAGGTCCTGTACCCGGCAGTCCGAAAATAGGGGCGCGTTTGGTAATAGGGACACAGTTTGTCCGAAAAAATGGTCTTATTTTCGAAACGTTCGATACGTGATACGTTCGATTTTTGAGGTTCCACTGTAATTCAAAGAATTCCAGTTCATTGGCTGTGGTTCCAAGGGGACAAGTAGGTAGAATTCAACTTTGAGAGTCATCAAAGTGGTGGGGCTTGGGAACAAAATTGGGATTTTGCTGCCAATCCCAGATACGGTTTGCTGGTGGATACTGGACATCATAGGCTGGTTGTGCGGGTAGTTATGGTTGTGGTGGGCTGGTGGCTGACGCTCCACTTTGTCCTTGAACTGAGGAGTCAGCAGCGTGGGTCCCAGCCTGAGCTAGTGAGTCACGCATGGCGGTGCCACTACCATCACCACTACTACCATCTGCTGATGCCTGTGGTCTATCCATGCCAAATGTAGCCACATCATCCTCACTATCACTATCTAAGCCTGGTGTAGGGCCACAGGATGTATTCTGGGATGTACTCCAGGATGTACTCCATCCCCTGGGCACAGCATAGGGTACACTACCCGAGCGCATGCCGCGGCGTACATACCGATGCTTCACTGGTGAATATGATTCCTCACTATCACTACTCGAATGATCGTCAAGAGCAATAAAATCACAATCCACGTCACTATCATCATCATTACTGAAGTCAGAGGCCTGGCCACGTGAAAATAATAGTTTTCTCTTGCGTTGAGTTACAACTGACCGTGACTGAGGAGTGCCCACACCAGAGGTAGAAGGTTGAGGATCGTCAGGGTTTTCTGCACTGTTATCGATATCCTGGTCATTCCTTTCGGCCACTAACTGATCAAAGCCAAAGAATTCGTCTTCATTTCCACTTCCATCAGTGTCAGAACTATCAGTTAGGAAGAGGAGAGTCCCAATTTTCCGTGGAGTGAGAGCTGCTTTGCGAGGAGGCATGGTGAACAAGGGTAACTGAGCCGGTGTTCCCACAATGCTATGCGGGCGCCTAGATTTTTTGTTTATGGCACCCACCCACCACGCAGACCCGTTCTCTCACATGTAGGCCTATGAGCGCTTTCGCGCTAAATTTGATGACGCTAGAATTTTGGCATAGATCTACGGTTTGGACACTCAACGTGAAGCCGTAGATCTATGGGACGGACCCTGAAAGGGTTAAAGTTAAAAAAAAAGTAATTAATAAAATGAGTAAACTTGGCAGATGATGCAAAATACTGTACCTCCATTAACAAAATGCAGGGGAGTGACAAGTATGGTAAGAAAGAACTTAATGAGTTTCAGAGGTCTTTGGCTTTTCAATGCCCTCCCATCATTCATTAGGAAAATTACTAATAAACCTCTGGAAATGAATCTTACTTCTTGCACACCTTTTTTCCACTGTTTTCTGCCCATGTAACCTGTTGTCTATCACTTGGGTGACAAGATTATGCCATTTGTAGCATTGTGAAAATAAAATACTTCATTCCAAACAAGAATATACAGTGGACCCCCGCATAACGATCAGCTCCCAACTCGACCAATTATGTAAGCGTATTTTTGTAAATGCTTTTGTAGGTGTATTTTTAGGGGTCTGAAACGGACTAATCTAATTCACAATATTACTTATGGGAACAAAATCGGTCTATAATGGCACCCAAACAGACTTCTGGATTGAAATAATATCGTTATGCGGGGTCCACTGTACTGATCCTTTTTTTTTTTTTTTTTTTTTTTTATTTAGTATTTGTGCTTAACTGTTTTTCTTGATTTATTGTACAATATTATCGGTTAAAAAATTATGCTTTAATTTTATGACCATTTTGCAAAGTCTGAGGACATGTTTCTTTGCAGAATCGAGGCCAGAGAAGAAATTGCCAGATTATGAAGTTTGTAATAGTTCTTCAGATATCTCACAAGTTTTAGTGAATGAAATTCAGTTCACACATTTAAAAGATGCTAGGAACTTCATAAGGTAAGAAAAAAAATTTCAATTTATGATAGTGTATTCCTTATATACACTGGATTAGTTACCAAAAAGCATTCTAGGAAAGAGATTTTTCTTTTGTAAAAATATTTTATTGTACATATGTATACTACATTTTTTTTTTCAACAAACTGGCCATATCCCACCAAGGCAGGGTGACCTAAAAAGAAAAACAAAAGTTTCTCTTGTTAAATTTAGTAACGTATATAGATGAAAGGGCTACTGGTCAATCACACCGGGCATTTTAGTCGCCTCTTACGACAGACGTAACTTACGGAGGAAGAATTCTGTTCCACTTCCCCATAGAGAATATACTACATACTGTATGTAATTAATTGACAAATATTTTTAATGCTGCAAGGAAACCATTAGTGATAATGCATTGCCTTTCCTCTTTAGAGTATCTGTTAAATTTGCAGTTTATTTTATGTCTTCACGTTAATGTGTCCTAGTTGGCAGGGTTTTTAGTGAATGTGATATATTTTTACTTATGAAAATATTTATTGTTTTATTGTGTGGGCTTGTGAGAGTTGTCAGCATGTATCCAGTTCTGCATCTTTTTACTTCATGGAACTCTCAGTGACCTTTGATCCCAGTGCTCTGTGAATTTTTAATACCTTGTTTTTTTCTTTTTTCTCTGTTTATTGGAAAATAGTTTTTGTGCTCTACTGTCTTTAAATTTTAAAACAATTTCTTTTAATTTTTCAGAAATTTTCTAGTTTTCTGCACTAAATTTTCATAAGCTCTGATAAAGACATTTCTACCTTATGATGTATTAGGAGTGATTTTTATTCAGAGAACATGATCAATAGTGTGGAAACTTAGTTTTTTTTTCCATTTTTGGCAGGGTGACCCAAAAAAGAAATACTTTTTGCCATCATTCACACTATCACTGTCTTTGTAGAGGCGCGCAGGTATGGCAGTTGAGAAGTCACTCTTAAACAGCAGATATCCCAAACTCTTCCTTTAAATGTGGACATTGTACTTCCCACCTCCAGGACTTAAGTCTGAGTAACTGGCTTCCCTGACTTCCTTCCTAAAATATTATCCTGCTCACACTCCAACAGTTTGCCAAGTCCCAGAAATCATTTGTCTCCATTCACTCCTATCTAACATGCACACACATGACTGCTGTATGTCCAAGCACCTTGCATACAACCCCCCTCCCTCCATCCTTTCCTAGAATGATCCCCTATCCTTCCATCCCTCCACTATAGATTTATAAACCCTCCGTGTCATCCTGTTTTGCTCCATCCTCTCTAAATGACCAAACCACCTCAACAACCCCTCCTCAGCCCTCTGAATAATACTTTTAGTAATACCACACCTCCTCCTCCTAGTTTCCACACTACAAATTCTCTTCATAATGTTTACACCACACTTTGCTATATTATTCTTTATATATTTTGCTTCCTAATGAATTTGTTTAATTGCAGGAGTATGCTTAATAACATTAACTCCAGGAAGTTCAGAGATGAAAACAAGCTCTTTGTGGTAGAAGGTTTTCGCATTGTGAAGGAAGCTCTAGATGCTGGCATTACTCCTGAAGCTATCTTCTTTAGTCGACTTTGTGATATTGCCCGTTTGAAATCTGCACCCTCTGGTTTGGAATTGAAGGAACTTAATGCATTAAATGAGTTGCCACTGTACAAGAGCCCATACAAAAATCTTCAAATGCGGTCTTCACTTACAACTTGCCCTGGCATTATAGGTATTGTGCCACAGGAGATACTTTTAACTGTAAAATATCTTTACTTTCAACTGTATATATTTAAGCTGAGCTTAAGATGGAATAATAATGATTTGATTATCAAAATATAACACACAAGTCAGAAAAGCATGAAAGGAGAGTGTGAAAGTTTTGAGTGGTAAGGGCTTAAGCATTCAGCAGAGTTGTGTAAGCATGTTGGATGAGAATAATTGGTGATATGTGATTTTTGAGAAGTGACATTCTGTTGGATCATGGGAAGTTTGCTCAGCCAAAGTTTAATCCTGGAAATGAGTGGTATTGTTAAGTTGTACATCATCCTTGGTGTGGTCTACACCATCCTTGGTCTACATTGTGTGAATGGATGGGTATGTTGCAGCTTGCTGGATCATTTAATGCAATATATATCTTTAATTACTACAAGTACATGTACAAGGTGTACAGGCCTAGCTGACATCAGTGACATACTACTATATAGAAAGCCGCTTGTTATGCAGAGCATTTCAAGCAAATTAGGTAAGTTTTGTCCCAGGATGCGACCCACACCAGTCCAATAACACCCAGGTACCCATTTTACTGATGGGTGAACATAGACAACCGGTGTAAGGAAACGTGTCCAATGTTTCCACCCCTTTGCCGGGAATTGCACCCGGACCCTCACTGTGTGAAGCAAGAGCTTTTGCCACCAGGCCATGGGGCACCGTGAATTTTGATGTCCATTCCCTTCTGGAAAGATGGCTGTAGATCGAGCAATGGTGAATGTTTTACTTCATTTATACATACACTCCCAAGGTTCATCCTAGTTCAGTATAAGTTTTACCTTTTCAGGTGATTATATGCCTTCAACAGCATATAATCACCACCCAATTTCAGAATGAGAGACCATAGACATGGTGAGACTGTCCATTTTCTCATACAGGATGAGGTGCCCTGCATGATCTGTACAATGCTTTGAACCATTTAACCATTCATCAGGACCATTTGACCATTCATCATTGACGCTTACATTTTTCTCTTCAAGGAATAGGTTATCAGTTTGTAGAAATGTCATTCAGTCACAGTACAGACTTGTGGATCTTCACCATAGTTTGTTGTCTTACAAAGGTGATGGCCTTCCTGCTTACAAGCACTCTGTGTCTCACAGGTGTGGGCCTGGTAGCTTATGTGCCTTTGCCTTTGCTCCACAGCTGCATGCTACTATCCAACCAATGGATATTTCTTGAACAATGCACACTTCTTGCCCTTTTTGGGATCACTGTCCCTGCATCCTCACTAAACTTGAGGTGGATCTGTGTTCTTTATTCTCCATACAGCTCTTTGGATGGCACTTTGCTCCTGCTCTGGAGTCTGGCTATCACCAACAATAGAACTATCCTCTGAGTACCTTACTCTCTATGGCAACTGCTAGCACAGGCAGGCCTCGATTTACAGTACTTTGCTTTACAGCATTTCGCAAATAGTACAACAGTTTTCAATTATACTCATTCTTCATTTATTCAAGAGCTCATACAATAAAAATATTCACCTCTTGCTATAAACTTAGAAGGAAAATATTTTAAGGTAACTAATGTGTGCTCTAGGTAGTAGGTTGGTAGACAGCAACCACCCAGGGAGGTACTACCGTCCTGCCAAGTGAGTGTAAAACTAAAGCCTGTATTTGTTTTACATGACAGTAGGATTTTGCTGGTGTCCTTTTTTCTGTCTCATAAACATGCAAGATTTCAGGTACGTCTTGCTACTTCTACTTACACTTAGGTCACACTACACATACATGTACAAGCATATATATACACACCCCTCTGGGTTTTCTTCTATTTTCTTTATAGTTCTTGTTCTTGTTTATTTCCTCTTATCTCCATGGGGAAGTGGAACAGAATTCTTCCTCTGTAAGCCATGCGTGTTGTAAGAGATGACTAAAATGCCGTGAACAAGGGGCTAGTAGCCCCTTCTCCTGTATAAATTACCTGTATTGGTGGGATACGGCTGGTTTGTTGAAAAAAAAAAAACTAATGTGTGCTCTAGGTAGTAGGTTGGTAGACAGCAACTGCCCAGGTGAGTGTAAAACAGAAGCCTGTAATTATTTTACATGATGGTAGGATTACTGGTATCTTTTTTCTGTCTCGTAACCATTCAACATTTCAGGTACATCTTGCTACTTCTGCCTACACTTAGGTCACACTACGCATGCATGTACAAACATATATATACACACTCCTCTGTCTTTTTTTTCTGTTTTCTTAATAGTTCTTGTTCTTGTTTATTTTCTCTTTTCTCCATGAGAAAGTGGAACAGAATTCTTCCTCCATAAGCCATGCATGTCATAAGAGGTGACTAACATGCTGGGAGCAAAAGGCTAGTAACCCCTTCTCCTGTATACATTAATAAAGTTAAAAAAAGAAACTTGTTTTTCTTTTTGGGCCACCCTGCTTCAGTGGGATACAATTGGTTTGTTGAAAGAACTTATGTGTATACTGTACGTATATGCATTTTTTAGGCCTAGCTATACTGCTCAGTTAATATATGATAGTGTAAACATTGTATCAGGCTTTTATATGCATTTGAAAGTGAAAAAAGGGCTGTGATTCACTTTACAGTGATATTTGCTTTACAGCAGTAGCACAGAACCTAACCTTCTGTACTTCAGTAGATCTTATTAGATGAGAGTCCCATATGCTTCATGTACATTCGTGTGGGTTCTCAGTCATGGTCATAGCTCTCTTATGGGCATCTGAGCATAGTGAGCATAGTGGGGGCATTTTCCAAGTCATTCTATTTTGCTCCAGCCTCTCTAAATGACCAAACCACCTCTATAACCCCTCTTCAGCCCTCTGAATAATACTTTTGTAACTCCACACCTCCTCCTAATTTCCACACTATGAATTCTCTGCATAATATTTACATCACACATTGCCCTTAGACACAACATCTCCACTGCCTCCAGTCTCCACCTTGCTGCAGCATTCACAACCCATGCTTCACACCCACATAATAATGTTGGTACCACTGTACTTTCATACATTCCCTTCTTTGCCTCCATGGATAACGTTTTGTCTCCACAGACACCTCAATGCACCACATTCACTTCTTGCATACTCACTCCCTCCAATGTGTTATCCAGTTTTTCTTTACCTAACTCATTTGATACCCTTACCAGCTTATTCTTATTTATATTCACTTTCAACTTCCTTTACACACCCTCCCAAACTCGTCCACTAACCTTTGCAACTTTTCTTTAGAATCTCCCAAAAGCACAGTATCATCAGCAAAAAGTAACTGTGACAGCTCCCATTCTGTATTTGATTCCTTATAATTTAATCCCACCCCTCTCCCCAACACCCTAGCATTTACTTATTATTATTATTATTATTATTATTCTTCTTTCTTCTTTCAACGTACCAGCCGTATCCCACTGAGGTGGGGTGGCCCAAAAGAAAAAACTGAAGTTTCTCCTTTTAAATTTAGTAATATATACAGGAGAAGGGGTTACTAGCCCCTTGCTCCCGGCATTTTAGTCGCCTCTTACAACACGCATGGCTTACAGAGGAAGAATTCTGTTCCACTTCCCCATGGAGATAAGAGGAAATAAACAAGAACAAGAATTAGAAAGAAAATAGAAGAAAACCCAGAGGGGTGTGTATATATATGCTTGTACATGTATGTTTAGTGTGACCTAAGTGTAAGTAGAAGTAGCAAGACTTACCTGTAATCTTGCATATTTATGAGACAGACAAAAGACACCAGCAATCCTACCATCATGTAAAACAATTACAGGCTTTCGTTTTACACTCACTTGGCAGGACGGTAGTACCTCCCTGGGCGGTTGCTGTCTACCAACCTACTACCTAGATTATTATTATTATTATTATTATTATTATTATTATTATTATTATTACTATTATTATTATTATTAATGCTATTTTAAAATCATTTGATATGTTACTAAGTGGGAGGATCTTATCCCACAATGGAGAGATGAGGCACATCACTGGCATCAGTGCTTGAAACAGTTCAAAACACTTCTGATATGTGTCCAGTGCTGCAACCCCTCCCCAATGGCCATACACTTGCTGTCACCCAGCAACAACCCCCCTGCCCACAACCCCCACCTTTACAATCTGCCCCTATAAATCCCCCCATGGCCACATACCTTCACCCATACCATGCTTCTAACTCATTCCTGCCTCTCCCACCCATACCTCCTGCCTTTATAATTTTACCCACAGCCACGTGCCTTCACTCACACCATCCCAGCCAATAACCTAACCCCACACAGTCTGCCCATACAATTTCCCCCATGGCTACATGCTTACATCTAAATAATTTCCCCATAACCATCATTCCCTTATGGTCACATATTCCCTATGACCTCACCCTGCACTCCTTAGCTGACCTGACCTTTCACCCTAACATACTGTCCACATACCTAATCACTTAGTTACCCACCACACTCATTACCACCAGCTACATAAGTGCCCACCCAGTCACCCATCATCCAATTACCACCCATACCAGGCCTCTGACAAGCACACCTTTCACCCGTACCACTTCCCCACAGCTTCAAGCCCACATGACCCCACACCTTACTCATGCCTTCACTCACCACTCCCCCATGGCTTCAAGCCCACATGGCCACACACTTTACTCATGAGAACATAAAGAAGGAGCACTGCAGCAGGCCTAGTGGCCTATGCTAGGCAAGTCCAAGTCACCTACTGGCCTAAGCTACTGGCCAAAGTCAATCAGGTCCAAGTCACATCCACTTAAGAATGATGGAGCACTGCATCAGACCCACTCCTTCTATTAGTATAATAAACTTTAAGGGAGCTAGTTGCTCACTGCCATTTGCTGACCAGTTCCATTGTCTTTATTTGTAACTTTATGATGAATAATGTTTTTAAAACATATTCCTGAGGTATCCTGGTAATATCTGCTGTTTTCAACCCTCGTGCTGTAACCTATTTGTTTCCCAGAGGCGTTGCTAGGGTTGGTATCACCCGGGGTGGAATCTTTGGTGTCACTCCCATGAAATCCAAGGGCAGGGGGATGGGGGGAGTAAACTCCAGTTATGTCAGTACTGCATGCCTAGTAACTAATGTTTAACACTGAGAATGTTTAAGGGCCATAAACTGAACAGGAGAATACTTTTCAACTTTATTAATGATAAAATAAATAATTGTAGTAATATTGAGGAAACATAAACTCAAATACCACTTTGAGAACAGGCAACAGATCCTATACTTATTCATCTTCAACAATACCAGAAAAAAAAAACTTGAAAAGTAAAGAAAAACATTGCAATATCAGAGAAACACTAGTTCTGATTTGACCTTGAGTACAGGTAACATCTCAATGAATCTGATCTTACATTTCCTTGCCTTCAATTCTGCAAAATCATGTCACATCATCAAACTCAATGATTTCCCTATATAGGCCTATTTGTACATTGTTAATGTGTAATAGGCTATATGAAAATGAAGGATTCTTTTCTTATGTTGGTGCAGCACTGTTTTGAGCATTAGTGTCACCTTCTTTAGAGGCTCTATGGTGTCGCCTCTTAAATGGGATCACCTGGGGTGGCCACCCCATGCCCCCCCTTATGACTCCACTATTGTTTCCTACGCACACCCATGCCTCTATCTTCTGTCAATTTAAAGTCCTACACAAGTCAGCAATGGCCCCCTCCTTCAGTTGAGTTGGCCAATGCTACAATTCCTGACCCAGAGAGATATACTCCCATCCCTTACATATCACGTTTACCATGGAAGTTGTCACAGTTGACAATGAATGAGATTGCAAGTTCCTTGCAGTACCTGTCTACCCTGCAATTTACACCGATTGCCCTAGACATCCATTTGCTGCCTACTCCCCTTCTAGGCAAGATGGTACATATGATCGGGACCTCTCCCTTAGACTTAATTAAATCTATAGCTGACCTATACCTATCCAGCAGCTCCAGCTTCCTGCCCTTTCCAATATCATTTCCACCAGCACTGAATCGGATAATGGGCTAATTCCCATTACCTGACATTTATCAACACCAGCTTCAGGGAAACAAAACCTCTGTCTCACCTTCCTATCTCTGTTACAGATAGAACAGTCCATATATCTTCTGGGTGAGTCACCAACCACAAGAATGTTCTTACCTTTATTAGCAGGAGAGTTAGTACCTTTAACTTCACTGACCACTGAGGTACACTTATCCTGGAGAACAAAGAAGTGATTTCCTATCTTCAAATCTCTCTTAAGTTTCCTTATTTTGATGTTCCTCCCATTACTGGGGACCACTTGCCACTTGTAGTGGATGCCAGCCCACTCCTCACTGCTAGTAGCCCTTTTTTTCCTCACTAACTCCAACCATCTCACACACACTCCCAAACCCATTAAGGTGAATTTTCATCCTCTTATTTTCCCCCTGGAGAAGTAGAACCACCTCCTTCAACACCATAACCTCAGATTTTAAAACTGCAGAAGCAAGTCATGGTGCTTTATAACCCTCCACACTAATCCCCAAACAGCTCAGGACAGTATGATTTCTCGTGACTACTGACCCGCAGCTTCTAGCCCTCACTGCCCCCCCCCCCCACTCCCACAGCCCCACACCCACACCTTGCCCATGTTTTTACAGCCCACACACCCTCTATAGCCTATCTATATTCCTAGTCATGTAGCCACCAGCCACCCTAATTATTCCCCATACCAACTGCACACTCACAGACTCACCCATCATCCACACTACCACCTACACTGGACCACCAACACTGCCATCCACATGATCACCATCACACCACCTTGTTGCTTCCAGCCTCCATCTCTACACCCCTCTAAAACCCAACATCATAGATATGTATGCAAACAAAAAACTACTTACAAAGGGTTCGTTGCTATCTGCAGTTTTCGTTATTCGTGGCATGCCTTGGAACATGTCCCTCGTGGATACGGGGGTCCTATGGCAGTGCTCTTCAACCTTTTCACTAGTCAGCCTGTCTTGGCCCCCACCTGACCAAGCTCACTTGGGCCACTATATGCAGTATATGAAGTTGTGTGTAGTTTCTGTATAGACTGGATGAAGTCATTTTTAAGAGTAAAACACATTGAAAAGGCTCACTGCTGTATGTTTCAAGGTTCCTTATTTGTCTGCTACTTGCCAGTCACTACAGCTTAACTTGAGTTTGGGAAGTTGGGAAATATAGTACCTGGAAGCTGGAATGGGATGTTGTGGTTGTGGGGAGCAGTATTGATATATGGTATATTCCAGATGGAATATCATGACTCGATACTCTAGATATATTTTTTTGTAAGAAGGGTGTCAAAACATATAATTTTTTTTTTAACAAGTCTGCCGTCTCCCACTGAGGCAGGGTGACCCAAAAAGAAAGAAAATCCCGAAGAAAATACTTTCATCATCATTCAACACTTTCACCTCACTCACACATAATCACTGTTTTTGCAGAGGTGCTCAGAACACAACAGTTTAGAAGCATATACGTATAAAGATACAAACATATCCCTCCAAACTGCTAATATCATATAAATATATAAATGCTTGTATTAATTATCTACTGAATTTTGCAGGTGTTTTTAAGCGACCAGATTCTCTGCATACTTCACTGAATCTTCCATTAACTGTAATCCTTGATGAAATACGAGAACCCGGGAACATTGGTGGGATTCTGCGTACAGTTGCAGCAGTTGGAATTGATCATGTGATTCTTATGAAAGGTATGTAAGGGATTATTAATTTTTAACATCTGGTCAATAGAACCATACCATGGGTGGGGTTTGAACCCGCGGTCAGAGTCTCAAAACTTCAGAACGTCGCGTTAGCCCAGTGACTAATGCGACGGTCTGGAGTTTTGAGACTCTCTGACCTCGAGCTCAAACCCCACCCGTGGTATGGTTTGTTTGCAATCATGTCATTATGGTTTTGTGATTCATGTTTCTGGTCAATAGAATGTTTGCATGTAACATAACAAGGTCAGCATCCAGCATATTGCTAGTCAGGGAATGTTTGTGTACCTCTTGTGAAATGCAACAAAACAGTGTTTATTCAAAATAATACTGTACATTACACCTACTAATAATAATATGTACAGATTTAAGGTTTACACAAGAATTCTGAAGTATTGATACATTAAATTATATTTGCAATACATGATCACAATCAGCCTGTTCTAAATCCTAAGTTGAGTTTTTACTTGCTGTTTTCAGCAACTTTCTAGAGTTACATTATATAGGCTATGTTTGTTTAGGTCAGATTGTCATCTAGTTAAAAAGAAACCAATTACAGCATACCATAATACCCATTTTTTTTTTTCAACAAGTCGGCCGTCTCCCACCAAGGCAGGGTAACCAAAAAAAGAAAGAAAATCCCCAAAAAGAAAATGCTTTCATCATCATTCAACACTTTCACCTCACTCATACATAATCACTGTCTTTGCAAAAGTGCTCAGATACAACAGTTTAGAAGCATATACAAAGATACATAACATATCCCTTCAAACTGCCAATATCCCAAACCCCTCCTTTAAAGTGCAGGCATTGTACTTCCCATTTCCAGTACTCAAGTCTGACTATGTAAAAATAACTGGTTTCCCGGAATCCCTTCACTAAATATTACCCTGCTCACACTCCAACAGCTCATCAGGTCCCAAAAACCATTCCTCTCCATTCACTCCTATCTAACACGCTCACGCATGCTTGCTGGAAGTCCAAGCCCCTCGCCCACAAAACTTCCTTTACCCCCTCCCTCCAACCTTTTTGAGGGCGACCCCTACCCCGCCTTCCTTCTCCTACAGATTTTATGCTCTCCATGTCATTCTACTTTGATCCATTCTCTCTAAATGACCAAACCACCTCAAAAACCCCTCTTCAGCCCTCTGACTAATACCTACTTTTATTTATTCCACACCTTCTCATAATTTCCACACTCTAAATTCTCTGCATAATATTTACACCACACATTGCCCTTAGACAGGAAATTTTCACTGCCTCCAACCGCCTCCCCGCTGCAGACTTGCAACCCAAGCTTCACACCCATATTAGAGTGTTGGTACTGCTATACTTTCATACAATAATACCAATAAGTGCAATAATTCATAAAAGTGATAAAGACTTTTGGATTGTGAACACAATGGGAGCCCATTGAGTGGACAGTACAATACATGGTCACACAACTTTAATTCCTGTTTCACAGTCACATATGGCTGTCTAAGTTGCAATAATTTACTGACTTTGATTAGGAGGAAAGGCTATCACACAATATGACCCTGTATGACCCTTTTGGGTTTAGTGACTACTTATGATTGTAATAATAATAATGTCACACTATAGAACATGGAATAAAGCACTGTACTGCTGTTGTGCTATTTATTGTGCTCCCGATGGGGTTTAACTCTTTCGGAGTTGGTCCCATAAAATTATGGCTTTGAAGCATGGGTCGGTCCTGTAAAACTACGCCAAAATTCTGTCGGCTTCCAATCTTGCAGGAGAAAGCTGGTAGGCCTACATATGAGAGAATGGATCTGTGTGGTTAGTGTGTGCAGTATAAAAAGTTTCTGCAGCATGCAGTGCATAATGAGGGAAAAAAAATGCAACTGTGTTCTTGGTATAAAAGAGAGAATTTGCAGTTTATTTTTGTATGGTTTTTATGGTTGTATTCTTGGTTTCTTGGTCTTATTTGATAGAGTGGAAGATATATTTTGGAAATAGAGATGATTTTCAATGGTTTACAGACTAAAAGTAGCTTGAAATTGAGTTCAAAGTAGTAGAAACGTTCAATTTTTACTGATGTTCAATGGTTAACAAAAGGCATTATGTGTCCAATATGTGTCAACTGGCTGGTCTAATATGCACTCACAAATGCACTGACATTATTTATACAATTATTACCATTATGCAGTAGTGTAAATAAAAGTAAATCTTCTATTGTTTTGTGTGTGAATAAAAATTCAAAATGAAAAGCAAGCGTAATATAAGAGGGGCCAGGAGTAGTGACTAATGAACAGAGAAAATGTTATTTTAGTGCCAGGATTGTCTACATTATTTATTCTGGATCTTATTTTGAAATTAGCCTTTCTTGAATTTTGTGTGAAATTAGCCAAATTAGTAATTTCTGATCACTTTACTGGGTAGTCGAAATAGGTAAATGGGGAGTTTCTTGTACTCAATCGATAGAATAAAAGGAGTTCTAGCTAAATAGCTATGAATTTGGTCAATTGGAACAATGAAATTGGCCCAAAATATGGCTCAAAGTGGGCAAAATTGCCGATGTGTAAATATTGCCGAGACCTTTAGCTTCGTGAGAGTGAAGCTAAAGGTGAGTCGAGACCTTTAGTTTCGTGAGAGCGTAATTCCGCAAGTTTTCCATCAAATTTCATGCTTTTGGTTTCATTTCCTTCAGAAAAAGATTCTCTGTCATTTCATAAGAAAAATTTATTTATTTATTTTTTTTTAAATTCTTTGACCCTGGGAGCAAGTTTGTGAGCAGGGGTCTCGACCCTCAAAGTGTTTAAGGCTATTGATTACACAAGTCATTAAGGCTGCATGTAACTTGTTCTCCACCAGTCAGTATTTCAATCCCTAAATAGAGATTAAGATAAAGTCTCTATATACCCTGAGAGAAAATGCTCTCATTGAATTTTTTTTTTTTTTTTTTCTCAACAAGTTGGTCGTCTCCCACCGAGGCAGGGTGACCCAAAAAAGAAAGAAAATCCCCAAAAAGAAAATACTTTCATCATCATTCAACACTTTCACCACACTCACACATTATCACTGCTTTTGCAGAGGTGCTCAGAATACAACAGTTTAGAAGCATATACGTATAAAGATACACAACATATCCCTCCAAACTGCCAATATCCCAAACCCCTCCTTTAAGTGCAGGCATTGTACATATATATATATATATTGTACATTGTCTATATACTGTATATCCTTGTATATACTGTATATCCCTGCCTCAGTGGGAGATGGCCGACTTGTTGAAAAAAAAAATATCCTTGGTGAGGATAAGAAATTAAGAGATAATTATAGTGAAGTTAAAGGCACACAAGACTTATTAGGAAATGTTTTGGTTGGGGGACCTTGTTGACTCTTATAATAAGAATGAAGATCTCATGATTGAAACCTTTCCTAATAAATTTCTTAAGTGTTTTCTTATGTGTCATTAACTTCAACTTGTAGGTATCATGAACCAGAGTTTAGTAGGCTTAGTTACTGCTGTACTGAATAATTATGACATTACATTTGTATATTTCGTTCTCGAAAAGGTTGGAAGGAAGGGGTAAGGGAGGTTTTGTGGGCAAGGGGCTTGGACTTCCAGCAGGCGTGCATGAGCGTGTTCGATAGGAGTGAATGGAGACGAATGGTATTTGGGACCTGACGATGTGTTGGGGTGTGAGAAGGGTAATATTTAGTGAAGGGATTCAGGGAAACCGGCTATTTTTATATGGCTGGACTTGAGTCCTGGAAATGGGAAGTACAATGCCTGCACTCTAAAGGAGGGGTTTGGGATATTGACAGTTTGGAGGGATATGTTGTGTATCTTTATACGTATATGCTTCTAAGCTGTTGTATTCTGAGCACCTTTGCAAAAACAGTGATTATGTGTGAGTGAGGTTGAATGATGATGAAAGTATTTTCTTTTTGGGGATTTTCTTTCTTTTTGGGTCACCCTGCCTCGGTGGGAGATGGCCAACTTGTTAAAAAAAAAAAAATTGTATATTTATATGGTAACGACAATATATGACATAAAATTCTTAAGTTTTGTTTTTTAACTAAACTATTTCTAACAATTATCTTTCCAGGATGCTGTGATCCATGGGAATCCAAAGTTTTACGGGCAGCGTGTGGAGCACATTTTCGGGTGAAGCTGACACCTAAGGTGACTTGGGACACTATTAGAAATTATATTCCAGAAGATGCTTCCCTTCTCCTAGCTGATATGTGCCAAGATAGAGATTATAATGAAAATGTACAGCTAAAAGATTCAGCAGAAATTCCACTGGTCAAAAATCGCAAGTCTGAGGTTAATGAAAATGAAAACGTAGGCACATATGAAATTGACAGTGATGGAAACAAAATAGTTATTGATTCCATGTATAATAATGAAGCACTCCTTTCTCAATTTAAGAATGTGAAATTTCCTCTTCATTACTATGATGACTTTGAACTTAGTCGTAAGATCTTCGGTACAAAACTTGGTGCTTTTCTAATAATTGGTGGAGAGATTGGCATCAGCAATGCAGCAAAAATGTTTTCTTATAATAATGGGGGTATTCAAGTGGCAGTTCCTCTTGCGAATGGTATGGATAGTTTAAACATGAGTGTTGCTGCAGGCATTATCCTTTATGAAATTCAAAGGCAATATCATCATTATTTCTGTCATGAGCAACATGAAGAGCCCTAATTTTGTTAAACGGTGTTTTTGTCTGTATGACCATTATTTCTAGCCATCTCCTCTGTGTCCTGTCTTATCTTTCAGTTTCTCTTGAGAGTGGTTCCTCAATGCCAGTGAGGGGCTCTTAATCAAGGGAATTGGACTTTCTCTCCTTGGATCACTCCTAATTGCCTGCCATTTCCTTCCCCAGGGTACTGTACAATATGACAGGGTGCACAAAAATATGACAAAGTATTGGAATTTTTATGTGTAAATTAATTTGTCATCTTGTATCTCACTAGTTTATAAAATACCATATCACAAAATGCCACTTCTTAAGCATATAACTTAACTAATAAATTATTTGAGTGTCAGACAATAAATCCATTGAGGAAGAAGTTCCTTAAAATATTTTTGAACTCCATATGTATATATATTTTTTTCAACACATAGGCCATCTCCTACCAAGGCAGGGTGAGCCAATAACGAAGAAAACTGTAAGGTTTTTCTTCCTTTTACATTTAGTAATTTATACAGAAGGGGTTACTAGCCCCATGCTCTCGGAATTTTAGTCGCCTTTTACAACATGCATGGCTTATGGAGGAAAGATTCTTGCCCACTTCCCCATGAAGATGAGAGGAAATAAATAAGAGCAAGAACTATTAAGAAATTAGAAGAAAACTCAAGATAGGTATGTATACATATGTGTACATAAATATGTAGGGGTGACCTAAATGTAAGTAGAAGTATCAAGATGTACATGTTTATCTTGTATGTTTATGAGACAGAAAAAAAAGACACACATTTGCACATTTCCATTACACACACATTTGGCAGGAGAGTAGTACTTCCCTGGGAAGTTGCTGTCTACCAACCTACTACTTAAAACACATGTATATATTACGTATTATTATGATCAAGTTAAGTGCTAAACTACACATGTATTTAGTTAATTACTTTATTAAACATTAGATGGTATCTTAAATAAATTCTTTAACTAACATTGTTTATTATAATAATGGTTAATGAATAAGATACATGCAACACTTTGGTATCTTTATTTCTGAAATGTTTCACCTACACAGTACAGCTTCTCAAGGCTGTTGGACTGATCACATCATCCTTACCTCTCCACTGCTTCTGCTGTCTCCAAATTTAGTCACTTTTGCACTACTGTGTAGGCAAAATGTTTCAGATGATGTCTTCAACTGCTACACCTCTAACTCTGTATTCCTCTAATTCAAGTATATAAATCTTGGTCCTCATGCCTCTGAATTAGATTGAAAAAAGCCTGCTGTGCAGGCAAAACTTCTCATCATGAAGAAAACTAATGAGCTTTTGACTTACGTGCAACGCCTGGTTAAGTAGACATGATTTAAAACAAGACTGAAATTACAAGTTTATATCACTCACTTATATGCCCACAAAGAGATCTTGATTCAAGGCATTGGGCCTTTTCTCCACTTATTTGGATTGAATCCAATTGCCTCCAGCTTCCCATGCACTGACTCAAGAGTTCAGATTATTTTTTATATATATTAGGTGGACATGCTAAACCCATGTATGGGTCATATAGGACCTGGAGAACGGGAGGAAATCGGGCTCAGTTCTAGGAAGGGGAGCATAGTTTCAGTTCCTGGGATCAAGAGCCCCTCACCAGTGTCAGTGAGCCATTATCATATGTCAAATTAATCTGAGAGTAGTGTTAGGTGCACATACTACCTCTAGACTGCACCAGAGGAGAAAATTTAGCAAACTACTGGCATACTGTAGATACCTGGGAAGCCTACAAAGAAGCTTAAGCTGAGAAATGGGTTCTATAAAGGTGGGTCACCACAATAAAGTGATCATGCATCAGGGGATGCAATAATGTCAGTAAGCCATGGAACAGAATTTCACTCATATTCAAACAGGTGCAGAACTAAGTTGAATGTCTGAAGAATTAAATAAAATTTTTTTATAGTAAAGTATTATCATATCAATATACAAATAACGTGTACATGGGAGAATGAAAATTATGACTAATGGTCTTAAGTCGGACTGAAATGTCGTCATAAGTTTCATTCTCTTCTGTTCAGGTTATTTGTGTATTGTTCCAGTCATGGTATTTTGCCTTTTTATTCTTTTTTTTAACACTGACCATTTTCCACTGAGGCAGGGTGACCCAGAAAATAAAATAAAATAAAATTCCATGCATGTTTGACTTACTTCCACCTTTTTCAAGAGTTAAAATTTCGTTTTACGTTCATCAATCCTCCATGCTTGTGATCTGCGACAAACAAGCCAGACCAAGGGAATCAATCCTTCATTTGTGTAAACCTTAGTCACCAAAGAAAAAGTTAAGGACTTATACTTGCCGTCATATTCACGGGTGTTAACTTTACTCACTGTTGTGTTCAGAAATATTCACTACTTAACATCATACAGTGGACCCCCGCTTAACGATCACCTCCCAATGCGACCAATTATGTAAGTGCGTTTGTAGGTGTATGTTTGGGGGTCTGAAATGGACTAATCTACTTCACAATATTCCTTATGGGAACAAATTCGGTCAGTACTGGCACCTGAACATACTTCTGGAATGAAAAAATATCGTTAACCGGGGGTCCACTGTATTCACAAATCTTCTCTTCACTCATGTCACAAATGTTAAGTTGTGTTCACCATGTCCCAAGTGCTCACTTTACTCAGTCATTTTCACAAATGTTCAACTGAACAAAGAGTGTCGAGGCTGAGTGAATCTTTTCAGCTCCATGACAAATAATCTCATTAATTCTCTCTTAATTGGTACAATACCAGTTAAGAAAGATTTAACTCCCCCCTTTGATTCACCTTCATCATGAGAGTGGAAATCCAAGCCTGAATACTGCCACAAACACCATAACATGCAGCACTGGCTGTAGCATTGTATTGATGTCATGTTAGCACTTGGGAGAGCTGACCTTCATGCCAGTGCTGTATAGCCCTTGTGGTTTAGTGCTTCTTTTTTATTATAATAATAATGACCTTCATGCCTGTGAGGGACTCTTGATCCAAGGAACTGGACTCATTCTACATTTCCTTGTATCAATCCCTTGAGGGAGGTAGGTTCCTTGGTGCTGGTGAGGGGCTCTTGATCTGGGGAATTGGATCTGTGCTCCAGTTCCCTGAATTAAGCCTGAATACCTTCCTTCCCCCCCACACACATGCGCTATATACTCCTATGGGTTTAGCGCTCCCCCATGATTATAATAATTTCTTGTATGGAGTCTGCCTCCCATTCTCCCAGGCTCTGAATGATCCTTGAAGGTTTACCATTATCCCCTTTATTGTAACGAAAGAGGATTTCAATTGTGTGATCCGAGAAAGGCATCTTTGTATCCCATAAACCCAGCCCCCTCTACCTCAGTGACCCAAGAAAAGTATCCCTGTATCAAATAAATGCAGCCCCCTCTACCTCACTGTGGGTTTAGCGCTCCCCCATGATAATAATAATAATAATAATAATAATCTACCTCACTGCATGCAACAAGAGCAGTGCAAGGTGCTCATGAAGTTGTACATTTGGGTTCATGTGCAAGTGTATGCTTTTGTATGCAAATGTGCAAATGGGCATATTTAGGAATGGATACCCCTCAAGGAAGGTTCCTTGATGTTGGTGAGGGGCTCTTGATTTAGGAAATTGGATCTGTGCTCCAGTTCCCCGAATTAAGCCTGAATGCCTTCCACATCCCCCCCAGGCGCTGTATAATCCTCCGGGTTTAGCGCTTCCCCTTGATTATAATAATAATAATTAGGAATGGATACCTGTCTATTTAGAAAGAACGTAGGTAAGTACTGGTTTTCTAACAGAGTTGTGGATGCGTGGAACAATCATCCCAGTAGGATGATAGAGGCTAGGACCTTGGGTAGCTTTAAGAAGAGATTGGACAAATATATGAGTGGGAGGGGCTGGGTTTGACTGGTGTCATTGGGTGCGGGAGTTAATTCTTAGATAGCTTTGGGTAGAGGTCATTTTGATAAGGACCTGCCTTGTATGGGCCAGTAGGCCTTCTGCAGTGTTCTTCCATTCTTATCTTATATGTATACGTGTGCATGTAAAATTATTAAGAAGCTCCAAATCCAGAAGGGTTATTTTGATCTCAATATATGTGTTGATGTGATGAATGGTTTTGACAAACGACAAGTTGAAGAATTGAGACACTTATGCAACATATGGGAATCAGTTCCATAGTTGGGTGAATGTGGTAATATGAGATGGCCAGACCGTCAGAGAGCTTGGGCAGCCATGGAGATATCTGAGAATGTAATCTTCAGCATAGATGAGGCGTTAGGGATCTTGGAGATGCTGTCTACCGAGGCCCAGGTGTTTTATTCCTCAATAGATGTCTTCAGTGCTTCAGTAGAGAGAGAGGTGACGATATTGTCCAGTCTTTTCACAATGACCGAATGTTTCGACTTCAAGAATGGAGACGGGAATACAATGAATTGTTGTGTTTGAAGGGTCCTGATCGAAGAGTCGTCCATTAGTTTTAATGCTTCCGTGTCGTCTGTGCAGACGACAATGAAGGAGTCCTTCAGAGAGTGGATTGCCGTAAATTTGACCTGCAGGCAGGCCCTAACGGCGGTAGCTAAAGCTAGCTTCGAGGAGTCATTTATTGCACCATTCACCGGCTTGATTTTCACACGATGCGACAGCACTGTGAAAAAGATGTGACGTTTGTAGAATATAAATTCCCCACGTCGGCGGGGGTCGAAGGGCGTACAGCAACTGTGTGATTGGACAGAGCAACAGCATAGATATGTATGCATGTATAATGTTCGCCAAGACTAGGGTCATGGCACGGGTCTTAATCTTGAGATGACCCGTCATTGGCTCCTGAAGGAGAATTGATTCTTCATTGTTGCAGCATATGCTGCTCAAGCACTGTTCCGGACAGTTCAGCTAGTGTGCCTCATAAGCGACCATGATTTGGTACTGAGGTTATTCCATCTCCACTGTTTCCTGAGCTGGGGACTGGGCTCTATCCGGTCTGATAATCTGCAGATTCATGGCATCCACTGTTTCCTCCTCTGTCAGTAAGCATACCCTCAGGAGTGTGCTGACCATCTGCCGGAACATGCTCTGTTGTTCCGTGGAGGTGATTGTGTTGCAGATAATATCCGTGAATGCCTTGATGAGTGTTAAGAGATCCTCCCTGTTGAGGGCATGCGTTGTCGGTGGGTTCGAAGCAGTGGATATTATCTGGGCAGTTATAATCTGTGTGGACTGCTGAGGGTTCTATTTCTTCACTGTGCACACCGTGGGCTGTTGCTGTATGCCAAGTTGGGTAGCCGGCATCTGCTGGTGAGGTGCAGGCACAGCCTGCATAGTGGCTGTGCCGGGCAAGGAGCACCTGTGTTGCCGTGTTATGGCCGGTGGGGGCTAGTGTAGTGCCGTTTGCTGATTGTGCTGCCCAGATGTTTCCTGTTGGCACCGCTTGTTCCTCATGTTTTTGTTTCTTCGTTGCGGTAGTGGGGGAGGATGCTCCTGTTCATGACGCCTGGTTGAGTCTTCAAGGGTCGGAAATTCCTGGGCATTGAGTTGGGTTGCCTGATGCGAGTTCTGCAGTATGGCAGGATTCCCTGCACCCATCGTCTGCTGAGGGTGATGCTCTGCCATAGCCTGCTGTCTCGTTGTTGGCGTCTTCCAGGCCTCACAAATTCTAGCGAGCCTCTCGGGGCATCGAGGGTTTCAGGCATGGTGTTTTTGCCTGCAATTCGGGCATCATGGAGTGGGTGGTGATGCATTCTTCAGCTTGGTGATGCATTCCTCGGTAGGTGGGGCTGGCTGCAGACACCGCAGATTACTCTGTTCGGACAGAGAGCACCCAGGTGTCCGTAACGCTGGCACTTGAAACAGCGAAGTGGTTCTGCCGTGAAGGTCCTGACATCATACTTGCCCCAAGAACCGAGGTCCAGCTGGGATGGCAGCGGTCCTACATGCTGAATGAGGACTTGCCGGGTTGATGCGTTGCCTGCCGACTTTGCCTTGAGACGCTGAACTGATACGACTCATAGGGCCAGTATGACACGACAGCATAGGGCCATAGAAGTGGCTTATATACTGTGGTCAGGTGAGGTGAAGCAGGAGGAGGCGGGGTCATAGTGGTACCATCCACTAGTCGAAGTAGGTCTTCGTTCAAAGGTTGGGCAAGTTTTGATAATAATGTGAAGGCTTACTCAGCCCTGTAACAACTTCAGTCAGTATTACCAAGGCTGGCTCCTCCTCAGGAAAATTAATGAATAGAAAAAGAAATAATAACAGACAATGATAAACACTTTATTATTTAGAAACAGAAAATGTAAAACAATAAAACATGAATGGGTATCCTAATTGAAAGAAAAATGAAAAGAAAAAAATTACATTTGAACTCAATGCTAATATAGGTATATCGTGGTAATGGGGTGTCAGGTGTTGATGACACTGCGTGTTATTGAAATCGTAGCCGTTGCTGATGTGGGGGGGATAGCAGGTGTTGGTGACCACCACCGGCTCGTTCTTCACAGAGTGTAGCCATGTATAATTACTTCAGATGACAGGAAAACAGGTTCGTTACCACTGCTATGATGAGGGGTTAGGTCCTGTGTTGGCTTACATAACAGGTAAATAGATTAAACATGGGACGTCTCAGGACGTTATCCGTCTCCTTCTATTCTTCTCGTTGGTTGGCAGGTGACCCTCTCTGTCATTCCAAGCTGTAAAGAGAGACAGATTACCCACTGCTTAAGAAATCACTCTCCATGATAAGTATAATACCTAAAAGATGTGGTGATTATTAAAACATTTAACAGATAAAGACTGAAAGGACTAAGTTAATTATTGGTCAAAAGTGAAGCTTTCAACCAATAAGTCCACTAAAATATGATCAGGCGTGTACTCACAGAAGTGTTGGGAGCTGTGAGTCGAGTGATTTACTGTTTGACCGGAGCCCCACACGTCACCTTTCGGGGGGGGGGGGAGAGGGAGGGGAAGGGATAGCGGGAGCTAGACTGACCCTACCTTAACAAGCAGCCAGCAATCAAACTACCACTTTCGGGGAGGAGGAAAAAAAGGGGAGGGGAAATAGCGGGAGCTGGACTTACCCTTCCTTAACAAGTAGCCGGCAATGAAACTATTGTTACTATACACTCCCTCGCTACTCCTATCTATTGAACTTTTCCCTCACAAA